CTTGAGAGCTGCAATACTGTAACTTTGAGTTTGCATCTCTTCTCTAACACACCTGAATCCAAAGGCGCAACCCCATAATTTAGCTCAGGAGAGGCATGGCAAGGACTCACTCATCTGACTGTGTTAAAAACAGGGTGCATCAAAATGTTGCAGGATAGTAGGTCTTGAGGACGGGACTTGAGCACCTCTATTCTATAAAATTAGGTGCCTTATTGAATTCCTGTAACCATCTTTCTGTTAAAACATAATGTAGAGATTATGGTCAGAAATGAAGGAGCTGATTAAATAGGATTTTCCTGACAGACATCTAATGTTGGATAAACACTATAAATTACTTTTTATTGGCTTTGGTCTTTCTTTCCAGTATTACCACAGAGATTTTATGAATGTTTCCTATCAGTTTCCCAAGTTTTCCCCTGCAGATAATGTTTCTGATGGAAATGTCACTGATGGCAAGGTTTCAAGGGTGGATGAAATCCACCCTGAGTACCTTAGATCTCTGGATGTTTTTGGGGTGTTGTGGCTGACACACCTCTTCAACATCGTGTGAAGGTTGGAGCATTGGCCCTGGTGTTGAAGCTGGGTGTGGTGGTTCCCCTGCAACATTAAGGTGGGCAGGAGGGTGTGATCCAACTATAGGGGGATCACCATTCTCAGTCTCCCTGGAGAGTCCTACTGTATGCCAGGGTGCTTGAGAGGAGAGTACTGCTGATTGTCGAACCTTTGCTTAAGGAGTATAAAGTCAGAGGCCATCCAATAGCTGTAGAAGCAGAGCAAGAGTTTGCTCCAGATTGCTGGCATTTGTTTGGACCTGTTCCTAGTGTGTGTTGGACTTTGACAGGGCTGTCTTCTGTCACCGGTCAAGTACACAACCTTTATTGACAAGAGTTGTAGTTGCAGCAATGGGCCAGAGTGGGTCTGGATTGGGGACCAGCAGATTTTGTTTCAACTTTTTTTGCAGATAATGTGGTTTTGGTCTTCTTCCTCCTGCCAAGACCTACAGCAGGCACTAAAGTTGTTTGCAGCCGAGTGTGAAGAGGCCAGATTAGAATCAGCTTCTCCAATTCTGTGGCCATGGTTCTCAACTAGAAAAAGGTGGCTTGTCTTCTTCAGCTTGAAGGAGAGTTCCATTGTTAAGTGGAGGAGTTCAAGTATCTCGGGGGTGCTTTTCATGAGTGAGGGGAGAATGTAGCAGGAGATTAATAGTAAGATCGGTACAGCTGTGGCAATAATGTGGACCCTGCACGGTTCTGTTGTGATCAAGAGAGAGCTGAGTGAAAAGTAAAAGCTCTTGATTTACCGATCAGTCAACGTTACTACTCTCACCTATGGTCATGAAATCTAGATGATGACCCAAAGAACGAGATGCCGGATGCAAGCACCTGTAATGAGCTTTCTCCTTGGGCACTCCCTTAGAGATGTTGGAGCTCTGTCATCCGGGAGAGGCTCCGAGTGGAGCTGTTTCTTCTCAACATCCAGATGAGCCAACTGAGGTAGAACGTACATCTTTGTCTGATGTCCCCTGGACGCCCCCCTCAGGAGATTTTCTAGCTAGTACTCTTGGTAGGAGGACCAGGGGCTGACCCAGGACATGCTGAAGGGACTATGTTTCTTGGCTGGCAAGGGAGCGCCTTGTGCTTCCACCAGGAGAGCTGGAGGAGGTGTCTGGGGAGAGGGACCTCTGAGAGTCTCTGGTTCTGTATAAAACAGAAGATGACGAGTATGAGTACGAGTATGAGCCATTGCTGACATCTTCCAGTGGTCATCTATGTAGATGTTGTGGCTTTGCAACTAAAACATGCCAATTACTATCAGGAATTTGTTCAGTGACAGGGTAGGTATTATAGGTTCCCGTATTGACCTCTAAGTTCACTTGGCGGCCTCCATTTTGAATCACAGGCAGCGTTTATTGTTCTACCCAGTATTGACCTCCACATTCACTCTTGTCTATACTTTACAGGGCTCGATTGTTAACCATCGCCCGATCTCCCGGGGCAAGTAGTTTTTATTGTCGGGAGAGTACAAATTTCATTGCATTTGCCCGCGGGGCAAGTGCAATCATCGCAAAAAAAAATATTTATCACTCAAAATTACTTTTAAATCACCCACATTCGCTTAAAAAAGGACCCACAAGTGTTGCCGGCGCCATTTTTGTTGTTTTGTACACATTCTCGCATGATTTGAAAAAGCCGCAAGATTTTCCACCAGATGGCGTGATTTTTTTCCACCTAGCGGTAATTTTGATGTAGTTACCAAAACGACAGGGAAAACTAATCCTGAGTCAGTTAAAAGTCAGGAAATTCTGAAATAATGTAAGACTGTGGAAACCCTTTATAAAATAACTATGTATAATGATTCTCTAGAAAAGTCACATTATATTAATAGTATTATCTTGTATAAACATACCGTGACTCTAAAATAACTTATTTATTTGTGACATTGACTTCTGTCTTGTGATTTATCTTAAGTTTTTAACCTGTCAAGTTTTTTTTAGATTTTTAACATTACAATTTATATTTTTCCAAGCACACAACAGTTTAAAGCAAAGTTTAGTTTGAAAAGAATGTGCAGGAAGGATTGAAAAGCATGTTAACACGGTAATGTAGGCTTGAGTTCATTATCTGACGCATGCAGATACACACCAGGAACCTGGAAACTTAAAAAATACTGAATTACAAAAAACATTTAAAAAACAAACATGTTTCATTGATATATATACAAAAATGAATATTAGGAACTATATTTATCAAACATTATACTGGGCAAATAAAAATTTTTTCTGGGCAAATGAAATGTGAAAGTCACTTGCCCGAAGGAGAATAGAGAATAATAAATCAATATCTGGTTTTACCTGATATTACCATTAAAACCCACACACATACAGACAAAAAACTGCTTCAGTGACCATTATGTACAGAATAGTTGAAGAAAGACTTGGGCCATTTTATGGATGCTTCAACAGAGCTGCTCTCTTTATTCTATCCACTGCACCAAATGCACAATGTGTGATAAATTTTCCCTTTTTTTTCACTCTTACACAGTCCAAGACAAGATTTGTATTTCATTAAAAGCAGACTCTAAAATCTGGACACACACCGCTTTATTGTGCTCCACTGCATTAATCTTACCGTCACTGACAAACCTCCCAACAAGAAGCAGAGACACACTTTAATTAAAACAATAATTCTGCAATGACAGCATGCAAATCATTAAATTCAACCAGATAACAGACAGAAAGGGTTTTTGCCAACAACTGCTTGAACTAAATCTAGAAATGAGAGGAGCCAACTTCAGATGCATTTGATAGTCCTAACCGAGAAATATTTACAGTATGAAAAATATACAAAATGGTGCTTTGACTTAATGGAGTCAACCAAGTCACTGTGAGGAAGTCAGTTAATGTTTTTTCATCAGGTTTTCCAGGCTGATGCTACCATCTTGCACGTATCCCCATTAAGATCAGTTAAGTGTTGCAGAGAACATTCACTAATTCACTTGTGCCCTAACTAATATTTACCCTGTATAGTTATCATTAACAACTGTTAATCACTGACAGCAGCTTTCACATAAATCCGTATGGCAAATATGGAAGCTAACACAGATTTGGCTGTTTAACTTTCACTTGCATGTTTCACCGACATATCAGGATGAGTCGTGTGGTTTTACCCGTCGGGCAATGACACCAACTAGTTTATGAGTCAGTTCATGAATATTCACAACAGCGATCTGTTCCACTGGATGTATGTTTTTTTGGACTTTACAACAGTAAAGGGGAAAAATAAGAAAGCAGTTAAGTGTTTCAAACAGATAAGTGTGAAGGGTGATTTCATAGTCACAAATATGGCCATTTAGGCAACAAATATATGTGCTTTATTCCAAAAGGCTGTCAAGAATGATCCGGAGACTTTCCTTCTTTGAATCAGAGACGACAAATACATCTACGTCACATATTGAAAAATAGTTGTTTTTTTTCTCAGTATGTTTAGGCAACGATGACGATCATTCCAAATGCTTCCTCACTTTGATGTGCTTAATGAAGCAGGATCTGCTGGTTCAACATCAAACTCCCTGGGGCCGCTGTCCACACTCCTTTTATTTATTTATTTTTTAACACCATGCAGAGTTTGACATCAGATGAAATCACAACTTCAAATAAAATCCCAAGGACTGTTAAGCTTCTATTCCCTCTCGGTTATGGCAGGTTGATGCTCAGTGGTCCCTCTCCTCAGCATCTGGTGCTTCTCAAGACCAGTTAGCTGATCAGGTCAGATAGGCGCGACATCTACAAGGCAGATACTCGAACAATGTTGCTCTGCGAGTACGTGGTGGTGGGAGTGGATGTGTTGTTAGACGAGGTCGCCACCGGGGCAGACAGCCGGACCATGGATGGGGAGATGTATGCTTCCTCGCACTTCAAGGGCATAGTCTCATCGAGTTTTGCGTTCAAGCTGGAGCGGCTGAGGAGGAAAATTGAAAGAGTGAGACAGCTGACCTTGAAAGAAATGTCGGTGCTCAGACTTTTTACAGAATATTTCACAGGTATAGGTGTCTGTTTTCATTAAAGAAAAAATCTTTGGCGAAGGAATGCTTAGAAAAAAACTTCTATAAAGCACTATTTGACAGAGTATATAAAAATACAATAAAAGACAATAGACTGTTTTTATGAAGAGAATGGTTTAGAGATGCAATGCTGTGCGAAAGTATAAAACATCTATATTTTATTTATACTTTGATTCCAAAGAGCCAGACCTTCTCTTCCTTTTTTTTAAACATTGAAGTCAATCAATAGTCTTTCAGGCTTTCTGAAGGTCTTTAAAGTTCTTTTTTAACTTATTTTCTGTCCAGCTTCTTTACTGGACCATGACGGCATATTCTGTCTGTTGAGTCTGTTTTAAAAAGGAGAAGAGTTGACAAACCTAAAGGAAACTCATATACCACAGATCAACATCTAGCTTTAGGTAATAAAATGGAAATAGTTATGTTTCTGTGATGAGCTGATGGTAATTGATAGTATCCATTGCAAAAACACTCATATCCAGTCAAATGTTATGCAATTACACAATTTGACCTCTAGCCTGTATTCTATTGGGGATAGAAAAACAGTTTTGGCAAAACACAAAAAAAATCACTGCAAAAACCATCTAATAATAAGTCAAACTTTCTTAAAATAAGTGTATTTTGCCTTAATTTGAGCAGGTAAATAACATGATTTGCCAATAGAATGAGTATACCTACTCTTAAAATAAGATAATTAGATATTATGCACTTGGAATTAGACAATGCAGCTGTTTTCTTTTTCTTATTTTAAATGTAAATATACTTGTTCCATTAGCAAAGTGTCTGGCTTACTTCCTCAGTTCAAGAACAAATGCACCTATTTGAAGAAATAATGACTTATTTAGACTAGAATTATTTTGCACTGGCACAACCTTGAAGAGAGAAATGAATGAACTCATCTGCTGTATCTTAGGCTGTATGTTTAGGGTCGTTATGAAACTGGAAGGAAAACCCAGTGTCTAGTATTCGTATTTAGCAAAAATTAAGGGACCCCTCATCATTATGCTTTTACCACCATGTGGCACAGAGGAGATGGTAGGTTTAAGGTGTTGTACAATAATACATTTCTGACACACAGTGTGTTTAACGCAGGGCGCAAAAAGTGAAACACTTGTCTGTCTGGTTTGAGGAAATATGGCTTATGGAGAATAGGCTTAAGTTCAACTGAAGAAACTAATTGCTCTCCTACATCCACCTGTGACACAGCCAATCACCTTTGAACCACACCTCCATGAAAGCCAATCGGCATCCAAAGTTCATCTCAAAAGGCATCCGATCTGCAACTCGTCTGCGCAGGCGGTGGGTGCGCTATGTGACTTCATTCAGATGACTGCATTTCAACCCAATTCCAGCCCCTCCTCCACCATTGTAGCTAAAGCTTCATCAGAGCGTCATTTCTCCTGCACTCACTGTGTTCCCTGTCTCATCTCAACTGGTCCGGCAGAAGACCGCCATGTTGAGCCCGGTTCTGCCAGAGGTTTCTTCCCAAGGGGGAGTTTTTCCTCTCCGCTGTCGCTTCATGCTTGCTCATCATGGACAGGTTCTCTCAACCTGTGTTATCTAGCTTGACTCCCATCTTCCAGGAACCTGACTCCGCCAGATGGATTTGCTCCACATATCCATTTGGAAACCTTCCGTAGAAGTAATTTTGGGAAGGGGCNGGCTAAAGCCGCCATGTTCTTTAGACTGAACTGTCGCGCTTCTCGTTGCTTCAAAACTCAACCCGCCTCAAAGCCAACGCTGATTGGATGTTCTTTTGGTGAACGGCTCCAAATTTTCTTTAACAGAGAGTCTCCAGACTGATTAGCGAGTGAAATCTTGAAAGCTCGCGAAATCAGGATGGTCTCACGAGGCTAATCTTCCAGGTCCCTGAGGGAAGCTGTACTCACGCAGTCCACTGGATCTCCCCATAAAGCTCATAAATCATCTATCTCCACTCCACCACCAGTTTTAGGCCTGCGCAAATTTAAGCGCAATGTTTCGTACCGAGGTCTGAAGGCCAAAGACTAAGTAATTGTATAAATAAATTTCTTCTCTTTTTTTTCTTTTCGGATGAGTTTTTGGGACAGGAAGCTGTTTACTACTGTATTACATCAAGTTATCTTATTCCTGCATAAATGAGCATTTGAGCTGTTAAACATAATATGGAATTTTTCACTTGTTGATTATTTTACTCTTTCTTTTTGTCAAATATTTTCTTTAGATGTAATGTCAATTCTCAGTACATGGCCATGATGTTATAACACGGAATAGAAAGGCTGAAAAAGATGTTGTTTATGCTGATGGCGCTACGTGTTGCTTGAATTCCTGAAAATGTGAGTACATATTTTATGCTCTTTTATTTTAGAGTCTGAATTGCTTCTCTGAAAGAAAAGCTTTGGATGTGTTAGACCATAGACTGATTTCCACTACAAAACCAATGCCTTAGGGCCTGAAGATTTTCACAACGAGGCACTTCTCTTTCTTATGTGCAGACTATCTAGGTTCTTAAGGTTTTCAGGTAATATCATGTTACACATTGTAAAGTCAACAGTATTTTTCAATATTTATAGTAAGAAATGGTGGTTGAAAATATTAGTTTTTATTTACATATTGATGCACCTTCAAATTCCAAAACCAAGAGGGTTTTGCAGAAAGAACAATAAGGTCAGTCTTGCAGTTTCTTACAAAAACATTGCATGATTGTGAAGTGAAAGAAAAGGGAATTTGCCTTTTGTTTTATTTAGCTTACCACCCTGTAGAAGTACTTTTTGAGGCTGAGATATATTGGGATATGACCATCTAGCATTGCATAAATAAGAATAAGAATAGAACCGGGACTTTAACGTATTAAACGTGTTTCCATTAATTTAATAGAAACATTTGAACGTGTTAAAACAATTAACACAATTAATTGTATTGTCTTATATAAATACTAAAATCCAAAGCAGGAACCTTTGTACTCACTCACACCTGTAAATCTGACGCACAATGCATCACAGGTTTTGGTCCACTGGGGTTATTTAAGCTTAAAGACCATCATGTGTCGAACTGAATACAAGTGCTGCAGCGAGGTGTACTTAACGAATACGTCAAATCGGTACGGCCATCTAAGTTTTGGCAGAAGGGCGTCCGTGGTTGTCATAATAAGCACTACATATCTGAACAGTACTGGCAGTTAGGACGGCGCCAGGGCCAGGAACGTGAAATATTTGTGTTACTGGCTTAATGGGAAGTAATAGCCCCAATGGCCTAAATGTTTTAATTGTGCTAAATGCCGCACATTAAATTGTCATGATCTTGGCAGTGATGACTGGATTAATTGCTCATTCACCTGTCTACCTCTGCCCAGTTTCTCATCGCTGCTCATCTGATCCACCTGCTCCTGCCTCTATTTAAGTTGCTTGCATCCAGTCATCAGGGAAATTTTTTCTTGTTCTCTATAACCAGTGATGAGAGTGTTTTTAAAGTTCCTTGGTGTTTCTGATGTCCTGATCCTGATTGTGTTTGATTCAATGAGTCGATGTAATCAACTGGTTTTCGTTAGATAGAAATTGAAATCAATTTGACGGTATGATCTAGTTGACTTGTCTCTGTAAAATGCCTTTAGGTGACATGTGTTGTTAATTGGCACTATATGATTAAACAGAATTGAGTTGATTAAGCCCATAATTACCACCACTATCAACAGATTGTGGAAAAACTCCCGGAAAGAAATGACTGTCACTCTTGAACAGCACCAAGAGGCTTTGATAATGTTGCATCAGCATAATTAGCCCTTTACCTATATGCAGAACTACTTAATGTCAGGACTCAGCCGACAGGGCCGTGCAGTTCTGCTGGTTCTGCTTCTTTCTGCTTTCTCCGCAGGTGTTTGCAGTTGACATGTGGGCAGGGCGCACGCACCTGCGGCTGGTTGAGCTGCGTCAGATCGCACTATAAGAGCAGCATCCAGACAGCAGCAGGACGCCAGAGTGTTAACCGTAGTGGTACGCCTAAGGCCACAGTCTGTCAACTGAGTACTGACTTCCCTCGTTAATCCAAACCTCTGTGTTCCCCAGGTTTCCTCACGATCGCCTTCCAGAGGGTCCCACTCGTGCTGACTCCAGGTTCTGAGTTCCCACTGGGTCCTCCCTTTCTCCCGGCTCCAAGCAAGGTGCTTCGAGCCACTCTGGTTTCTCCTGCTGCCCCGGATCATTGGAAAGTAAGCGCAGCTCTGTCACCCTCAAGCCCGAGCCCCACCTGTCACTGAGACACCCGCCACCAGCTCCATCAATCAGAGCCTGAGTCCGCTCCGTCCTCCCCCGGTTAGGTTGCTGCATCCGGTTGTAAGCTCACGTTCCTCTATTCTTTTTTGCCTGATCGCCCTTTCCGGCTAATCACTAACTTCTCCTTTCAGAAGTCGAACGGGTCCCGGTGCTGTTGCTTCCCCGTCAACTCCGTTGCTACCATTTTCTCTCTCTCTCTCTCTCTCTCAATAAACAGTTAACTGATCCCTGTTGCCGGTTTTGGTCTGCATGTGGGCTAAATACGTTTAGCCGAACATGACACTTAAGCTCTTTCAAACATTCTATGCCAGGTGATAAAATACCCTGTGAATCCTTTGCCCACTATAATCTCCCTCCTTGTTATCAACCCAATTCATGTCCTCAGATTATTCTTTTCCTGCCTTGCCCAAGAGTCATGACAGTGCTCTACTCCCTATATGATATTTGGAAACAGGCCTCCGCTCCTACTTCTGAAATTCATGTATAAACCCTCTGATAGGTATATCTACACCTGGCTTATTGTAGATGACCACTGCCTGTTTATGACCATATTTTTGGGGCTTTATTTATGTTGTCAAAATATTCCACAAAACAAAGCAGCACTAAAACAATCTTCTACCTTACCACAATCTTCACAAGAGTAGGTTCTTCCCCTGGGTGTGCAGCCTTCCACACTCTGACGTCACCTTAGCTCTTGCTTCCCCACCTAATCAGTGCAGCTGGATTGTTTTTACTAATTAGATGACTTCTGATGGCAAAGTGGTAAGCAGGATTTTGTGTTGGACGATCAAAGTAAAGAGGGGCTACAATGGGCATTAGAAATCTGTGTTATTTTCGTCATTCTATCACATTAAATTTAAGGTGCCAAAATGGGAACATGTTAAAGGCATTTGAATACTTTTGCAAAGCAGGGCATTTACTTAGATCCTTTAATTGGAGTATTTTAGCCGCTCTATATCTATGTGTAATGATGATAAAGATGAATTTGATCTACAGTCCTTGCATTTTTTTTTATTGATGCACATCAGAGGTCAGTTTTAAACATTTCTCACCTGTTGGTCATGGGCCTCTCTCTGATCTGTATGGTGCTGAGCTCCTGGTTGTTGGTGCTCGGCAAGCTGAAGCTGCTCTTCTTCCTGTGGCGTCGAGAGCAGCATGAGCTGAAGCCGTGTGGAGACGAGGAGAGCGAGGAAGTTCGGGAGCCCGACTTGTTCACCACTGAGATCTCCATACAGTTGGCCTGGAACGTCTGCTCGTCAACAAACTCGTGATTCTGGCAGAAGAAAAATATGGCTTTAAATCCAGTGTCAGTTAGGCACTTTTTTTTTACATCTGCGTTTGGATGTGCTAGATAATGAGCAAAGATGTTTCCAAGCAGACTGAAGAGAACAACTGTCAAATAGTTGGAAAATGAATTGTCAAGGGAATAGGACCCTATTGGGCCAGATGTCCATATTAAGTGCCATCTGTGTGAACACAACTGTTATCCCTGTGACAGACGAGCAGAACTTGAAGGTCAGTACGGAGACGTGTTGCAGCTCCCACCAGCAGGTGGCAGGGAGGCACCGTGAAGGATCGGATGCGGTACTTTGAATCACGCCTCTGTTCTCACTACCTCCTGCTCATTTCTCCATTATCTATAATACCCATCAAGAGAAGCCTATTGTAAACATTTTCACAGCCGCCTGAATACAATATGTATCCTTTATGTAGCGTTTTCCAAACAAGCTGCAGGTCTTTAAACAACAGGAGAATCCTCCAAGATTTCACTGTCTCTGTAAGTCTGCACCCGGTTTAAAGCTGTGAGTGAAAATAACTGCCACGGTATGTCACAAGCATTAAAGGGGATCTTTCATCTCTAAATTATAGATAACATGAAACAAAGCAGGCTTTTTTGTTTTGAAGGAAATAAAGTAACTGATAGGAACACTCATTTTGTCTTGAATACACACACACACAAAGAAAACTCGTCTCCACATTTCCCAACCCCATTTACAGCTATTTTTAACAAGCGCTGCATATAAAATAGATTCTACAGTTCCAACATGGATGGAAAACTCACTTTGTTTCTATTTTTATCTGACTGTAACAGGTTGGCACTACTGAAGATGCAGCCCAGACTGCAGGAGTAATGTAATTTTACATGAAAGCATTTGGGGTTTGTTTTTATTTTTCAGAGGGAAATGTGAATCTCGCTGTAAAGGAACAAATGGATGAAACAAAAGTTATTGCTTTCCAATGGACATAGGTTTTTAAAGCTACCAGCTAGACTAAAACTTTATTTAGATTTACTTTGCCCCCTATATATGCCGCATGCCATTGGCAGTTTATTTTCCTATTTTATCATAAATAGTAAAGTAATCAACAAGACATAACTTGCCCTATGACATCACAAAAAGCAGTAGCAACTGATCAGAGGTCCCTTCTGTGCATTTATCAAAAATTTTCATGGTTTTATTCAAAATTCTTCCATCAAAGGTCTAAACTTGCATTAAAAACAAATGTTGCAAACAATTTGAGGCATTTTTGAGAACATATTAGATTGCTAAAGATGACTTGGGTTGACTGGCATTGGCAGCTTTTACTGTCAATGGTAATTAGTAGTCATTTTTAACAATGGTATTATTTAAACCACCTGTTCTGGTTCTTAGTGATGTTTCCTGCAATTCCACTGGTTCTTTTCAGGGTTTTCATGAAAATGATGACCGTGTACAGGAACTGAATGAATGCAGCTAGTTCCACCATGTTTACTCATGTATAGCCTGGACCAGCGGGGTTTAACTCCAGTCCTGGTACACTAAAGTGGTGTTTTGTGTTTGGACTTCTGTGCAAGGCATTGAATGTCCAACAATGTGTCCAAGCATAAGGCTACCCATCGGTGCTCTTGGCACCAGAACATCCTAGGCCGGAGGTCAGTGATCGAACTATGTAGTCATATCTTTTACACTTCTGCCATATGTTTTGGAAACTCAGATTAAGAGAGGGGCGGCTGTGTCAACTAATCACCACCTACTGGCGAGCTTGATACGATGAAATGGGAGGAAGCTGTAGAGCCTTTGGTCAGGGACATAGCCCCTACCTCTGAGAGAGCATCTCCCAGATTCCAGGGGTTGGGAGACATGGAGCATGAGTGAACCATGTTTTCTGCCTCCATTGTTGATGCAGCCTCCCTTAGCCGTGGCTGTAAGGTCTCATTGCCCTTCACAGCGGCAATATCTGAACCCAGTGTTGGACACCTGAAATAAGCAAAGCCGTCAGGCTTGCTGGACTCTGTAGGCAGCAAGCAGGTATCCTGAGGCCAAACATCGCCACTGTCCAGGTGGTTGCAGAGGCAGGAACTCAGGCCTGGGAAGAGTTTGGGTAGGCCATGGAGAAAGACGATTATTCTCAAAGGGATTCTGGGAAGCTGTCCAGCATCTCTTGATGGCAAAACAGTGCATTGATAAAAAAGTTTCAAATGGGAGTGGAAAGCTGATGACAGGTGAATAAAGACATCATCGGATGTTAAAAGGAGCCCATTAGAGATCTCCTTCATCCGGTTGACATACAGTACCTTCCATGGCCGAAGAAAGACAAGGTTCTTGGGGCCAGCTAATCACCATGACTCACCTTTTTTGGGCTTTTTTGGCCCACCTCAGAGTCACTCAAGTGGGCCAAAAACTCCATAGTGGCTTTGGGGCTGGATGAAATCTGGCTTGAATACCTTAGAATTCTGAATAGTGTTGGGCAGTTGTGGCTGGCACCTCTCTTAAACTTTGTTGGGAGGATGGGGAGTGCCCCTGGACTAGCAGACTGGGGTGATGGTTCCCTTGCATAAGAAGGGGGTCCGGAGGGTGTGTTCCAAATATAGGGACTCTGACAGGGCTGCCGTCTATCACCGGTCCTGTTCATAACATATATAGACAGATAACATGGTTCAGTCTGCTCCCTCCTGCCAAGAGCCACAGCATGCATAGCCAATCCTGAAGCAGTGGGGATGAGAATCAGCTCCTCCAAGTCCAAGGCCATGGTTCTCAGCCGAAAAAAAGATGGCTGACAGTTCCTGCCTCAGGTGGAAAACTTCCAATTATCTAAGGGCCCTATTCACGAGTGAGGGGAGAATCGAGCATTAGTTCGACAGACAAATTGGTGCTATAATGCGCACGGTGTAACTTTCTATTGTGGCTAAGAGAGAGTTTGGTGAAAAGGCAAACCTCTTGATTTACATGTCGGGTTACATTTCTACCCCCACCTCCGCTCATGAAATCTGAGCAAAAGAACAAGATCCCGGATACTCTGACATATGCTTTCTCTACAGGGTGGCAGGGCAGTTCCTTAGAGGAGGTGTCTGGGATGAACAAAGACTGGGAGTCTTTGCTGAGATTGCTTCCTTCACGACAGTCCTGGATAAAGCGGAAGAGGATGAATACATTTCAGCATGAAAGATGGTGTTTCTTTAGTGAATTAAGCCCTTGGAGTTACTAAGACAGAGATTGTCTGAAATTCAAATGAAAATCTCTGGAGAAGTCTAAAAAAGGCTGTGCCCAGACATCTCCTAACCAACCTGATTGAGCTTGAGATGTATTGCAAAGAAGAGTGGACAAAATGGGCACCTTTAGATAATTAGGGATTCTGGCATCACGTTAAAAAAACCTAAGTTGTTTTTCTGGTAAAGGTGGAACAAAAAGTACAAAGCAAAGGCTGGTGATACTTGCATAAACTGTATTTTCTATTTTCTATTATTAATACATTTGCAACAATATAAAAAAACATTTACCACTTTGTCATCATTGGGTATCGTGTGACGGAAGACATCGATTCTTCATTATTTGTAAAAGAGCTGTAATATAACTAAAATATGGCAAACAAAATCCAAACGTACTGAATTTTTCAGTAAGAAAGTAATTTTTACCGTTGTCTTTTCCAAGCAGTGCAGCAAATGATGATGTTGGCTCTCGAAAGGAGGGCTGGCAGCCTTTTCAGCCAAGGCTTTTCCTGCTACCTTAGAGGCCTTGGGAAACACAAAGTCAAAACAGAATAAAGAGAAGAAAAAGTAGTTGCAATGTAGATGAGCAGGCTCAGACTCTTAAAACAAATAAACAGTGGCAGTGATGCGGGTGAAAAAAGGCAAAGCACTGAAATTAAACTGCTGATCTGTAGCTTGGCAGCCAATGTACTGCATCAGATGTGGGAAAACTTGGGCTAACAGAAGAGATGCAGAGAGAGATCAACTGGTAGATGAAACCAGATGATTTTCATTCTATTTAGCATTGGAGAGTAACCTGGCAGTCAGAAATAAAAAAAATTAGGGATGCACGATATTGGGATTTTGGCCGATATCCGATATGCCGATATTTTAAAACTCATGTAGCCGATAACCGATACCGATAGTGATGTTAAAGCTGGACAAAAATAAGTAGTCATTGAAAATAGCAGTTTTGTTATCCATTTCTGACACTTTGAAAAATAATATACTCAAATATATT